GCCACCCAGCTCTTTTCTATCAAGTTTCTTAGCAATGCAGTATATACACACTATCCATTTTCCAAGTCGACTTTGTAGTGCTGTGTCCTATCTCCAGAAATGTAAGGACTCCGTGTTCCACAAGTTCCCAGGGTTGCAGCCCCAGGTCCTTGGGGATGTTGCCATGTGATAACATTTCTCCAGCTCTTCAGGCAAGCAGTATCACATCTACCAAGCTAAGGACTCCCACAGTGCCCTGACCTCCTCCCTGCCCCCCAGGAAAGTGAGGAGCATGGGCAGCTCGCTGAAGGTTTTCTGATCAAAAGCAGTCATTGTCTCTCATGTAACAACCCTCAGATCGTTTGATTCCCGGAAAGGGGTCCCAATCCAGACTCAAGACATGGTTCTTGGAGCTCATGCAAGAAATAATTTGGGGCAAATCCATAAAGTGAAAGCATGTTTATTACAGAAGTAAAGAAACAAAAGAATGCCTACTTCATAGGCATAGCAGTGGCATGGGTGGCTTGACTAAGGATACTTATAGTTACTTATTGAATACATGCTAAACAAGGGGTGGATTATTCATCAGGTTTCCAAGAAAGGGGTCCAGTTACCAGAACTGAGGATTCCTCCTCCTTTTTAGACCATATAGGGTCACTTCCTGATGTTGCCATGGTACCTGTAAGTAGTCATGACATTGGTGGGCATGTCTTTTAGCATGTTAATGCATTATAATTGGCGTATAATGAGTGGTAAACACGACCATAGGTCACTTATGACGCCATCTTGATTCTGGTGGGATTTGGCTGGCTTCTTTACCGAAACCTGTTTTATCAGCAAGGTCTTTGTGACCTGTATCTTGTTGCTGGCCTCCTATCTCATCCTGTGACTTAGAATGCCTGTCTTCCTGGGAATGCAGTCCAGTAGGTCTCAGCCTTATTTTACCCAGTCCCTATTCAAGATGGAGTTGCTCTGGTTCCAGCACCTCTGACAGTTTGTCTTCTTTACTTTATTATTATTATTTTTGGTGAGGAGGTCTCATTTTGCTGCCCAAGCTAATCTTGAACTCCTAGTCTCAAATGATCCTCCTGCTTCGGCCTCTCCAAGTGTTGGGATTTCAGGCATGAGCAACCCCACCTGGGCTATCTTACCTACTTTAAAGCAGTGTTTCTGTAGATGTACCCTCTGAATTCAGGCTCCATTCAAGTGAGGGCAACTTCTTTTTTGTTTGTTTTTGTTTTTTGCATGATAAGAAGTGTGGGACAGGCCAGGCACCGTGGTTCACCCTTGTAATCCCCAGTACTTTGGGAG